GGAAACAGAAAAAGGACTGATATTAATTTACTAATAATATTTAGTTTTAAAATGTGTGCAATTTAATAAGCTTTTCATTTGAAGAGCAAAACTATCCAATATTGAAATTGAAAAAATATATACTCCAGTTTTATTTTGGAAATAGCAATTCGAAGGGGATACCATCTGATCGAATTTGACCCGAACTGGTTAGAAAATAAATTTTTATATATTTTAATACAAATTTGGCAGGATATTTAAGTTTGGGAAACAGGAAAGGGACTGATAATAATTTACTAATAATATTTAGTTTTAAAATGTATGCAATTTAATAAGCTATTCATTTCATGAGCAAAACTATCCAGTATTGAAATTGAAAAAGAATATACTCCAGTTTTATTTTGAAAATAGCAATTTGATCGAATTTGATCCGAATTGGTTAGAAAATGCAACATTTTTATATATTTTAATACAAATCCTTATTATCAAATTAAAAATAGACTGCTAATAATAGACGGTAATTTAGTTTTACATACTCTTGTTATAGGCCTCAGCCGGAATTGGCTTTTCATGACTAATGGCGCGTCCGTGGTATGGTGGCTGAGTGGTGACTTTTATTTCCAGTTCGGCCAAGAACTGAGTCACAATCAGGCCAGAATATGATGGCATATTGTCGTGCTGAAAAATCTAGGAATTGGTGGTTTGATCCGGGACTGGTAGCGACGCGCTTCTTATCCGATATTTAGGACGTGTTTAGTCGTTTCGGAGCAGTTACAGAACACAGAACTTCTGCTTCTTTCTCTAATGCCAACATGACGATTTCAATCACAGTTTTCTTTACTTTTTGGATGTTATTGAGGCAAATCACGACCCTCACTGAACGCATTATGCCTCCCAAATAATACTTGTGGTCTCGATAGAGTAGACTTGAAAAGTCTTCTGCAGCAAAGGAGATTTGACATTTACGAGGCACAAAACTATTCTTAAGATGATGTTGGTTGATCATCAATGTCTCTAGTTGTCAATCGTCGATTTTGGAGATTTGCTTTGTATCCGCCAAATAAGTTTGGTTTACAAGTTTGTGTTTAATGCAACACTTTGGATGAAATTGGTTTAGAGGTTTTACTTATATAAACATAACGATTAGAATCGCTTTAGTCATATCTCTCTAAGCAAAACGAAGCCGCAGTTTCGTAACGATTCGAAAATATTTGAATTGTTTTAAAATATCAGCAACATAAATCCATCAAGATGTTTTTTAATTTCCATTCACTGTATTGAATACTCTTTTGAACGTCTTCTTTTTGAAACTTGAATAGAATGACTCACGCCTCCTTTACCATTAACTGGAAATAAGAATTGGAAAAAGGGTTGGTTTTGCATTCCAAAATTGGTCATTTGCTAGAATGATGAGTGTGCATAGTTACAGCTTGTTTAAAAACTATAAAACCGTGGTTTATGGTGCCATAAACCTAACGAGAGTTTAATAAAGTGCTTATGGTCGTGGCTAATTTTAAGTTGAGTTATAAACAGCAGAGGCCCTCCGAATATAGCTACATACTTGTATTACGTTTCGTTTGAGTGGGACACGTATGGTTTGCTGATTTCAAATCGGTGACGAAATCAACGACACACTCGTATGTATATCTGGCAAAGCTCAGGCATTTGTGCGTGCGTCATCATTCCACAGTACATAAAACTGCTCCACAAGGCAACCTTCTGCCTAGCTACATACTAAATATATGCTCAGATCAGACACCCTGTAGGCATTTAAGTATAATATGCAAATTCACGCACATAGTACAAAAGTAAGAGTAAGTTAGTTCGCTGATGTTGGAGGAGGCCATAAAACGAAACAACAGGAAAAAAAATCAATGCCGCATGCTAAAAACCTTTGCAACAAAGCTAAGCAATGCGGTCAGTTAAGATCCTGTGTGCGGATATTAGGGGGTTCGGGTGGGCAATGCACAGAAAACACGATTAAACCGCACTGATTATGGGTTACGACCATTCGGTAGACCAATTTTTTTGCCAAGAGCGAAACTTTTTCCCCAAACTTTGTGCTGAGCGTTCGCTGTTGGCTCTTGGCTCTGGGCCGTCGTGGACGTTGGGTCTGAAAAATTGATGACGGCTTGGGTGCACGCAATCCATGACATCACCATCACCATCAAACCGTCGACCATCATCAACACCATAGGTTTGTTTGCTCAAATTGCACACAAGGTATGTGAGAACTACCAGTATATGTATGTTCTATATAGTACAAGTAGTAAGTATGTCGGGGCTCGCTGACCCCGCAATTAGTGTGAGTGCTGACCCTTCCAAAACTGAAATAACTGTTTTTGTAGCCCTTTATCTTCAAGTGAGTGACGTGCTGACGAACTGTGCGAGCCCTGTAGGTCATTTTTTTGGATGCGTGCCTTTACTGTCATTTACAATTATCCTTGACAGCGTTTGTGTTTCAACTTTTTTTTAGCATAAAACTAATGAAAACTGCGACCACAAACGCAGCTGGAAGTAAGTGGAGTGCGAGTAAAGCAATTTTTTTCTCACACACATACTGACGAGTACTACATACTTAGTTATGCAAATATTTACCCACTTTACGTTTATTCTAATAGGGTTTTCGCTAGGCTCTGGCTTGTCACGATTTTACGTCAAGAGCACTGAACCTTAGGACTCTATAGTTTTCGCCAACAGCCAGCGAGCAAAATGAGTGGCGTTCTTAATTAGAATTTAAATTAAAAACTGCCCGAAGTTGTGTAAATTGTCGCTGTTTTATTCAAATGTAATTACTTTCCATTTGGCCCTTGACATGCGACTTGTTTGTTGCTTGTCATCAAGGAAATGCACGGTCTGGCACTCATTTATTTATTTATTCATTGGCCATAATCAATATTAGACCCTGTGTGTTTGGAAACCCCCTCCATTCGGAATAAGACAATGATGAGATTAAGAATATTATTGAAGGCATTTCTACAAACGATCTCCCCTATAGAGGTATATACGCGTACTAAATGCAGATACAATCAACATCGGCTGTATGTTTGTAGACAAAAAGATTGGATCTTATTCATAGTTTTGGATTCGGTTTGGATTTTGAAATCCGTAAAGAAAGAAAACAACAAATTTGCAAACTTCCAGCAGATTGTTTTGAAAATATTCATTTACCATAATCCGTCGCAATTCATTTTCCTTAATAGCTTACTTTGAACTACTTCCGAACCAAAAGCTTTTTAAAAGTTATCCAATCTAAAGTATTGTTTACAAGAGTATGGCTTTTTAAGATGCAATTAAGTCTAATATGTCACAAATGCAAACGAGAATAGTTGTTTCCCCACTTCAAGGGATTCGGAGGGGGTCCGTCCAATCATAGCTAATTCCAAAAAGCCTTCCATATTACTATTAATTAGATAAGTACATTATTATCGAAGCTTTATTTGTATCCAATACAATTTCGATATTATTAGAAACAATGGTTAGGTTAGATTAATTGTGATGTCTTATAATTTCCTTTATTTATTATTGATCCGCTTCTGTGAGATCATTTAGGAAATGTTAGCCTAGCTAGCATGCGGGACAATAAAAGAGGAGGTGCTCTATACTCATTTGCTTCCTGGGAATAGGTATATTTATAATCCGTTGTATGGTAATTTTTGGTAACTGATTTCATAAAAGAAGATAAGCTACAGTGATTTTTTTTAATCTCAAGCGTACTAGCCTAGGCGGGTTCTTAAGTAAGGTTGCTACAAAGAAAACATTTCCAAATTATGCTAAGTATTTAAATTGAATTTAAATTACTGTACATGTTCGAAAAAGGTCATATTTAATCTTAATACATGGGTATTCAAATGAATATATTGTTCATTAAAAAAATGAAAAATTCGAATATTATTTGTAAGATACTAATATAGAAAGTGGCTTTCTGGATTTAATTTAATTTAATCCACAATTTTTTTTATATAATTGATATAAAGAATATTTTAAACCAATAGATAGATAGTCAGACAGATATAGAAACAGATACAGGACAGACAAATAAATAAATAAATCGACTGATATGTTGGTAAAATTAAACAACTGGTCAAAGCTTTGAGAGCAACACAGTTAAGCTTCTGCGAATCCTTCGACAGAGCCTGTTTGCCAGCCATTGACAAATTGGAACTTAAGAAATCATATTCAGAAAATTGAGGTCCAAGAGCAAATATTTGGAAGTTCATTTTTAAAACATTTAGATCCGATGGTATCAGTATCCACTATCAGTACAAATCCCCAGTATTATAGTACGCTGCCACATTAAATGAAACAATTGGACACTTATCTTCTTAGGTACTCAACATTTTGAAACAACATACCAAGAATTTACGAGCAAGATAAATTAAGGCAAAGGCATTGAGGCCGTTGCAAACGACAAAACATCGTGCAAGGCATGAGATTAGCTGTGGCACAACGTCTTTTAAAAACAAATAAACTTGGCTTGTATTTGTTTGGGGCCCATTGGTTTTCGTTTTGTAAGCAATACGCCATTTTATCGCCGCACGTGCCTTGGATTTGCACGAAATGGGTGATTTCCGTTTTCATGAATGAAAAATTACTTACGAATCTATGAACAAGAAGAAGTGGTGAGCGTGTTTTCATGGATTTTCAATTTTCACGCTAGGTTTGTTGGCACAAAAGTTTTACCTGCCCCTCTGGGCTAATCTATGGTGAATTATCAAGGCAGAAAGTGAAACTAAATCGTTGCGAAAAGCCAACGTACCAGAAAAGAGGTTAAATATATGCAATCAGTTGCCTGTGTTGCAAATTAAGCAACGAAATTGTCGTCGTGTTCTTCCATTACTTTGCCGACCCATATTAATTACAATGTGAAACTCATTAGGAATGCTTTTGCGTAATAAGTACAATCGTGGCAAGTTGATGAAGCGAAACAAAATTCGGGGTAGATACATTCAGACTAAGATTATACCCCTGACAACCCGCGACAACCTAATCTACATTCAGAATAGAAGAATTAGAAAAACTCTTTTTCACATAACTGATTATTTAATGGTAAATGTAGAGCATAGTTGATAGATAACATTGTCCACTGACGTTCTATGTTGATAGCTGAGAGTTCGACAAATTTGAATTTGATAAGTTCGAGCTATGCTCAGAGTCGGAAGAGTGCGCCGGATGCGGTTGTATTTGTGGATGATGTGACGGCTGTTTTGCTTGAATGGCAGTGCCCGACTCATAGTTAATACGTATCCATTGACCCTCAATGTTCTCCTTCCACAAAGAGACATTATTATCGCCGCCACTGACGGCCAATATGTTGCCAGTGGTCGACCAGGAGACAGTCCAAACGGCATCATCAAATGTATGCAGGACAGTCGAGGTCCATTGAGTTAAATCGGCATTGCTGCTCCATATGATCACATGACGGTCCTGGGATGCCGTCGCAATCTGTGATCGTGGCAGTCCAATAGATGGTGACCAGGCCACATCGCGCACCCAATCCGAATGCGCCTCGAAGCGTTGCTCCTCAACCCAACGGTCGTTGTCCTCGCGCCAGATCCTAACGAAATTATCGCAACCGCCGCTGACGATCCGTTTTACAGCCGTATTACGCGACGTGGCGCGCTGATCGAAAGCTGGATCAGGTGCTTGGGCCGGACACCAAGAGATAGCGTTGACGCCAATCGTATGCGCGTTGGGTATCTTTTTAGCATCCCATGAACCATATTCCGTATTACAAGACAATATTGAAATGGAGCCGTCCGAGCTGGCGCAAGCAAGAACCAAGCCATATTCTGGCGGCGCAAAGTCTACAGAATTTACCGAGGAATCATGGTTGCTGTATTCGTATCTGTAACAAAACCAAAGCAATTAGGCAACGCTTCAAGATAACGTCACACACAAGCACACACACAAGCACACATGCACACTCACACAAGCACACATGAACACACACAAAAGCGCAAATGTTTTCGTACTTACAGCTTTGTCCAGTCTCTGGGCGTTGTGGACTTCCAAATTATCACTTTGCGATCATAGGAGCACGAGGCCAGAATGCTTCCAAACTTTGGATGAGCCCAAGCCACACGCCACACCGGACCCTGGTGGCCTTTTAACTCGGCCAGCGCCTTATTGTTCTTGCGCGAATGAAATATTTTGACGCTGCCATCTGACGAGCAGGTTGCCAACAGCAGTCCGTAGAAGTCCAGTGCTGCGTGATGAACCATGTCCTCATGCTCGGTGTCAATTTCATGCAAAAGGCTCACCATTTTGTTTGAAAATATTTATTTAGAGACCGGATTTAAGAAATTACACCAGTTCGTCTATTTTCCCCGGCGTCCAATTCCAATCGTTTACGTGGATTTTAGGGATGTACTCGATGTAACTCAATCGAATCATCGTAGCAATAATATTCGATAGCAGGCACTTGTTGGCGATTAATCTATCAAATAGTCTTATCGATTTTTCCCTAAGTCTATTGTGAATTGGACGATTGAATTTTCCACAGACAGACACTTACTGTGCATTTGCAAGGAAAAAAAGGTAATTAAGATTCAATAAATAGCTTGAAATCGTAGTAGCTGGTTTGTTAAACGCACCAAAAGTGTATAAATAAATCGAATGTGCGAAAATTCAACTGCAACCAGCACAACAACAACCCCTATTACATAACCTTTTTAAGGTTACAAAACTGGAAGTTTTAGATCGAAATCCGGCTAATTTTTATGCCTTTGCAGATGTTGACGCAATCAATCCTGAAAGGCGCGCGTGTGCTGCGCACCGAGGCTCGTCGCAACATTGCCATCCTGGCGCCAGCACTTAACAAGGCGTCCGATCCCATCCAGCAGCTGTTCTTGGACAAAGTGCGCGAGTACAAGCAGAAGAGCGCGTGAGTATCCTACAATAGTCCAAAATTCAAATGATTTAAGACTTAATTATTGAATTGCAGTGGCGGCAAAATTGTCGACTCCAATCCCGAAATTGAGCGCGAGATTAAAAACGAGCTGGATCGTGTTGCCAAGCAATTCGGCAGCGATGGCAAGACCGACATGCTGAAGTTCCCCGAGTTCAAATTTCCCGATGTTAAGATCGATCCTATTTCACAAGGCACCGCCACCAATTAAGAACTTTTCGTTTAATGAAGTTAAAATTGTTTTAAGTTTTCCTATCACACAACAACAGCAACAACAACAGCCAGAGCGGAGCTACCAAGTAATTGCGTGTTAAAATAAAATAAAAACAATATAAATTACATAGAAGGGTTCGTAGAACAAATCAAAAACTGTTATTCAACACATTCTGTTTCTTTAAGCTAACGTGTGCTGATGACCTGCTGCACCGTCTGCTGGAGCAACTGCATCTTATGGTAGCCCGCTACCTTGGTGAATGTGTGCAACAGCGCCTCGATATCCTTGCCGCCTATCAAGGGCACAAAGTTACCGGCACAGGTGCAAAACTCAGCCAAATTGTCGCGCTTTATCTCATTGCAGCGGGCACATCGCAAGTCCTGCAGAACATACGACATCATTTTGCGCTGGACGACATCAATCATACGCATCTCAATCTCCTCGTTGTCATACGCTACATAGCACTGGGCGCACAGCCAAACGGGTCTGTAAAAAGATAAGTCGGAATTAAACACCGTATGTGTGCTCACAAAAATTTTACTCACATGCCATCCTTCATTGCTCGGTGCTTGTCCTTGCACAGATCTAGATCGCGACAGTGATTGCAAGCTTTACATATCACCTCGTTTATGATATAACTGTCGCTCGGATCGTTCCATTCGGCCAAGTCTGAGAACTCGCCCACGCCCACAAGTCTCAACATGTTACGTCTCAGCTCATTGATGTGCTCGGCCAGACTCTTGTCCACACTCAACACCTTCACAATTGTGCGTATCAGCTCCAAGCCAGGGCTGGTTTTGCCCTTGCCATAATTCTTATGCAACTTCAGCACATAATCAAAGGCACAATGCGATATATCCTTGATGGCCTGTTGGGTAGTCTTGTGCTCCGCGAGCGACTGCATAAAGAGTGTGAGCAGCGTTTCGAACTTCTCTCGACATTCATTTTCATCCGGCAGCCGTTCGCCAATGGTCCAATTTAGGTCCAGCGATAGCTCTGGTTCCTCCTCCTCCGCAGCATCTGTTGCCGAAATCACTTCGCAATCCCGCTCCGGCCTCTCGCCATCGTTATTATCATCGTCGTCTTCATCGTCACTTATTGTTTCGGTTGGACGATGCATTGTCCCACTAGCCGTCACGATAGAGGCTGTCTCATCAATGCCCTTGGGCAGCCTTCCGCGGATGCCCGAAAAATTCGCCTGATCCAACCAAAGCATAAAGTTCCAGCACTGCTCAAAGCTCAGCTGTATGGAGTGGAACATTTCCTTGTTACGCAGACTCTGCACAATATAGTCCACATAGCCCAAGGCGTCGGACACGGTTTTCTTGCCCGAACTCAAAATAATGCGATTGAAGTCCGCATAGACTATCGTGGCGCCCAGACGCTTAAACTCCGCAATGATCCGCAGGAACATTTTACGCATGAGATTGTTTAGCGAACGCCTCAAAGCCGGATCATACATCAAGGCATTACTGGATCGCACCCACCGATAGAAATGGACGATTTGAAAATCGGAGAATATGTTCTGATTAATAGATACCTCCCGGAGCCAACCATTTACCATGGAGCGCATCACGCGAAAAGCTGCGGAGCACAGAGCGGTCTCATCATAGCTGGGCAATGTAGCCGCTGGCACCGTGCCAATCATTTCCTCCAGCGATGCCTGTGGCATCACATCAAATGTGATGGCCGAGGAGGCGCCCTCCATTTCCTGGATTTTCGTGGACTGCAGAAGTGCACTTACTGCCAAGCTATCCAATGCCAGCTCCACGCACACATCGCCATAGAATCCGGCACGATTCTGCACCACACTGATGCTCTCCTCGAATTCGGCCAACAGACGACTGTCATCCGCCTCACGTCCGCCCAAATCTGGGCGTGTGGTCTCCGACCACCACAACACAAAATTGTGTTTCTGCAGCAGACGTGCAAAGAAGAGATCAGCACCAAATAGCACCGTATCTGGTGGCATGTTTCCAATGGGCACATGAAAATACCGACACTGATCCAACATTAAGTCGACCACATTGTTCAGGTTCAGGAAGTGTCGAATTACGGCTCGTGTGCCCTGACGCTGCCAATCCAAGCCGGAGAGCAGCGACGCATCATCTGAGATGTGTATCTGAGCCTGTGGGTAATCCAACAATATGGGCATTGCAGAACTCAATTTCCTCGCCTCGATCGCTGTCTGCATGCAGAGCATTGTGGGTCCGCGCTGTTCCTGCTTGTAGCTAGAGAGCGCACGCTGTATATGCCTGTAGATCTGTTTCACATCAACCTCGATAAGCACTTCAAAGGTGAAATCTTCTGGGGGGATTTTCTCGACATCTGCTGACTGCTGCAAGTTCTTAATAAGCGCCAACCGTTCCGCTGTGTAGAGTTGCTTCATATTTGGCATTTGATTGGCGCGCACCGTGTCCAGACCAAATATATAGGCACGCTTGCTAGACAGCAGGAAGAGTGCCCAAATCTCCTTCTTGGCCGTGGGTATGTTATGCTGATATAGATAGATCTTTCTTAGCTTGTTACTCGCTTGTTGCAAGTACTTGATGTGCGATTGTGGGCGCTGTTCCAGCTGCTCGATGGAGAAATTCTCCAGATCCTTGGTGGACAAAGCGGCCAGACGACGCGCCTCGTCGCGCTGCACCGCACAAATACAGCCCAGGTCCATTAGTGCACGAAACTCCAGCGTCATCTGAGTCTCATAGATGCCCTCGATGTCCGGCGTCGCTAAATCTGCCAACATGCCCAGACAATTGTCCCGGAACACCTGTTCCGGCACACTGTAGCGATAGAGATTGTAAACCGGTCGCGAGCGGGGCAATACGCGATTCACCTTCCGCCACAACTGCCCCTCTTCCGGCGGCGCAGCACTGCGTTGATTCACGTAGAAAATGCGCGGCACATTCAACTTGATGCGATGCAGTTCATCGCCAATCATGGCCCAAACAGTGAAGTGGCCCAGATCGTCGACTGGGACTATCTGCAAAATTTGCCACTGCTGGTCAATCAAAGTGCGTTGAGTGCGCCGTAAAAATCCCCCAAGCGTGGCCGTTGAGGTTGTAGCTCGGGCCCCAACTTGGGCGCTCTGGTCACTGTTGTCGTTGCGCGAGCGTTTGTTCTGCTGCCGATAGCGTTGGCGCTGCTCTAGTTGCCAGGCCCATTTGCGCTTTTGGAAACGCACCCAATCCATAATACTCTTGCGTGTCTCGCCAATGGGAGGCGGGGGACCAAGGGCTTGGCGCCAAGTGGTAGGCGCAGGCGTTGTATTTTCTGTCGGGGTGTCATCCTCGAGCTCAATGCGTTTCCTCTTGGTTACTATGGGACGGCCGTCTAACTCCGATCCGCCATCCCTGCCGGCCAGATCTTCCATGTCAGCCAGCTCTAGATCCTTATCTTCCGTATCCAGTGCCGGTTTTGGCTTCGGACGTGCTGTGAACATCTCATTGATGCGACGCTGCTTTAGCACATCATTTTTCTCCAGCATTTTCTTGTGCAGCCAATCCGGATGCTGGACGCGTGGCACAGGATTTGCCAGACCCTGCAGGGCAGCCGGTATGGTGATAATCTTTTGAATAGTGCCACCCAACCGCTCGATATAGTAATTCCAGTCCAGCACATCGCGTATGTCCGCATCGCCCATAGTGTTGTCCTTCAGCCAACGACGCAAGTGATGGCGTCGCACACTCGGCTCTGACTGAAATATGGCCAATGGGATGGCCCGTTCTGTGACTGGCGCCCCTTCAGGCTTCTTCGAAATGATATACTTGCAAGCTAGACCCGCATCTTTGACCATTTGCTCGCCCAGAAACTCGGCTAGACGTTTAGCTGTTGATATGGAAGTGCTTTTTTGTGCGCCATATTCCTCCAGTTTCTTCGACATAGATTTGTTCTCGGCAATCAACTCAAATAGCTCTGAATCGGGCAAATTGGAGCCACGACTGTACAGAACGTCTAACCAATAGTCGGCGACTTTGGCCACCGAGGCATAGCATTCCTCCAGTGTGCTGCCCGCTAGAAACGCTTCGAATACAGAGCTCTGAAAATTCTTTATCAGTTGCAATTCGCCACGCCGCTTCACTTCAAAGCCCTTCAACTCCGCCAAGGAGCCATCGAAATTGAAGACCGCATAGCGTTTCTTCAGCTTTTTGCCCTCCTCTTTGGCGGCAGGTAGCACCATCGCCAGATAGGGACCATCCACCTCAAAGAAAATCGAATTTTCCTCACGTATGTCATACTTGGGCGGTTCGTTGGCATTTTCGGATTTGCGCAGCTCATGATATTGGTCGTTGGTAAAGTGATCTTTGACCATGGTATTAAGCACAGCATTTGGGTATGAAATGTTGATTTTCTTTTTCTTTTCGTGTGTCGTATGCACCGTAAATTCCTGCGGGAATGAGCCGGGTAATATGCACCAAATACCATCAGTGTCTAGCTCCAAGGGTCGACCCACTCGCTCAATAATCTCACGTGCTTTCGTGATGATATTCGAGCCGGTTAGACACACAATGCCAGCCATAGGCATCGAGTGCCAACGCGCTCCCCGGCGCATCACATAGCCATAGAAGGAGTTCAGAATACACTTGTGTGCCAGCTGGAGCGAATCATACAGCACTTCGCGGCCCTTTGCCGCCTTAATCTCAGCAGCATCGCCCGAAGCAACGGCCGCGTTTACTGAAGCTTTGGCCACTTTGGTCAGACCCTTGTATTCGTAGCGACGATCGCGAAAGGCGCGTACCGTATCCACATAGAAACTGTTCTCCTTTTGGCAAATGGTCGAGTTTCGTGTCTCCAGTTTGGTAATCTTAGTCTTTTTGTACGCCTTCCGGCAATAGTCGGACAGACGTTTCTTCTCATAAGCTGCTTGATCCTCTTTGGAGAGTTCGTGAAAGGCACGGGTGGGTCCGCCCGGAAAGAGTGGCGGAAATTTCTCCGTTTCCAGCTGCTGTTGTATACGCTGGAACTCATTGCGGGAGGCGGGCAACATTTCACCTCGCCAGAGCCAATCCATAGAGCGCTTACAGCGTACACCGGGCTTGTTGAAATCACAAGCGGCGCAATCCATGTCGCTGACCATGGCCGAGGGCTGCAAGCGATTAGTCAGAATAATGTTGGGATACATAGCACCCACATCCAAATGATAAATGACCGGCTGTTCTAAGCGATTAGGTATGTCATGAAGACCTGCAAGGAAACAACAAAACAATTAAAGTGCCAAAATGAAAGGAATTTTAAGAGGTTTACCTTGCAAGCCCTGCGATATTTCCTGCTTAACCTCAGCTAGATTGGTCACCTTCTCCAGCGGTATGCCCTCCTCCACTTCAATGGCATGCTTCAGAACTGCATCGACATGTTCCATCAATTGTTTTACCATATTTGGATCGAGGCGAAATCGACAAGGTATATCTGCACGAAATACTCCAGATTCCAGGGCCTCCACATGGCCGCCTACATAGGTTTCGGAATCCAGCACATGTCCCTCGTTGGACAACTTGTTCAGTTCACTCTGATGCTTATTGGGGTACACGATGTTAGCATGATAGGCCTCCACCATCAGCAGGGTCTCACACAATGTGCCCGATCCCTTGCGCAAGATCTCATCCGGTTCCATGGGAATAATGGTGTTTAAAGCAAAAATAAACGGATGTACATACTTCATGTACAGATAATAGGTTGCCACAGCATCGGACACCGAATAATTGGCCAGCACCTGCGGCTGTTCCACAGCCATGCGACACATATCCTCAGGATCTAGCTCAACTGGATCGTAGCGCAGTTTTGCCTTGGCCACCGCCTTTAGACCCTGCGAACCCACGGGCAGATAGGAATCACGCTTTACCCAGCAGAGACAATCCATGTGTATGGACGGACGACTCAGATAGTTGCCATCGCGCACCTTCGAGAAGCCAATTTCTTGCTTCATATCCAAATCGTAGACGGCCGCGCGTGTCTCCACAAATGGCCAATCGAAAAAGTCGCCGTTGTAGGTGACGACAATGTGAGGACGCACCTCCATTATGTGATCAAAAAATTTCTGCAGCAGATGCATTTCATTCTCCTCATTGCAAACTATGAAATTCCCTTCGAATTCGGGCTTGGGCGTGTACTCAAAATCATTAACATCTGAAGATATAATCTCGCGATTTGTTATCAAATAGCCCTGCCCGTCGATCATGTACGAAATCATCATAATTTGATCGGTTTGAGCGTCGGGAAACTTAAGCGGCAATTTTGTCGTCTCTATATCAAAGGCCAATACGACGGGCTCGGGTCGATCCAAAATATCGGGTCGTGCTGTGACCAAAGGCATTTCGTCTCCACTGCGACAACGTATGTTATACCATTGGCCGCAGAAGATGCGCAAATCGATGGAGACCCGGACATGGTACGGCACATCGTGCTCCCGAATATCCATGATGCAGTCCATATAGTCCAGCTGTCGCTTACCCCCACCATCCTCACTGTTGGACGACTGAGCCAACGAAGATGCCAACATTTGCATGTAGTAGGTGTTGGACTTTTCGCGCTCCTTGTTACGTCGCACTGCCGACATCAGTTCCCGACGAACTTTCGTCATGGCTGTTTGATTGAGGAAGGACAGTTTGAGATAGCGCTGCTGCAGGCCAGATAAGTGATTGGGCAGGTCCAGATCCTCTTTGATGATGTGCTCCAAGCCAGCAATCTGGCCGGAATATTTGCGGCCCAGGAAACGCGCCACTTCCAGATGCATATTGTCATCCGGCCTTATAAGCAGGTATGGTTTGTAGGGAACAGTGCACTTAAAACGAGTACCGTCCATTTGTATAAAGAATAGATCTAATGCGGCAGCCAGTCGCCTATCCTCATCAAGCACTTCTGTCTACAAATAAAAATACGTAGAAATTGAACGTTTTTCTAATTCCTATTTATTGGAAGCAACAACTTACGGAATGCATATTAATGAGGTAGCCGGTGCGCTCCAGACTGTCCTTGACACGATCGAAACCATATTTGGAGTCGATTTTATCATTCTCCCGCGATTGTCGGTACCCAACTTCGTTAAAAAAGTCGTCCCTGATAAAACAAAGGAACACAATTGCAAAACTCATTGGCGATTTCTAAAGAACAAACTTACCCTTCAGCTCGCGTTTCGCTGACAAATTTTCCTGTATTTTGCAGCACTTTTGCTTTGTTGTTGCCCTGATCCATAATTAATAAACATAAAAATCACATATAAATAAACAAAAACTAATGGCAAATGTGTTTCACTATGTTTGGCGCCTTTTGTTATTTAATATCGATATGGACAGTGCATATCGGTGCTATCGATTGTCAATATACGATGGTATCGACTAGCAAGTGAAGTTGGCTGCGCTGCAAGCAGCTGTTAAACAGATTGAATGCAATTTTTGCTCTGAAATTTGAATTAAAGAATAACGTTTATTTTCTTATTGCACTGCATTCATAATTTGTATTAGAATCCTACAAATTTAGATGCCCTATCGAAATTGCACTTACCTTAAGAACAAAATGTTCACATTTTCAAATTGCCAATTTTTTAATGCATATAAATTGCATTTAAATAAAGTGCCGGCGATCAGACGCTGACTTACATTAATTCAATGCTTCAACTTACATTGCGCACGCACACGAATAAATTCATTCATAAAAATCCGGCTCACCTACACGCGTAGTAAAAATGCAGTTCAGAGCTTAACATAGCAACACAAACACATGCACATAAAAAACTGTTAGCTAAACTCTTTGCGCACGCGCTCTCTCCATATACTCTGGCTCGCTCAGTGGATTTCTCTTTCATTAACCGCTTCGGGCTGCTTACGTCCTTTTTTTTTTTTGATACACTTGTCGCTTTGGCCGCCCCATAGCGTTGCTTTCCCTACAATTGGATTTGTTTCCCCTGCTTTTTACGGCTGTTGACAATCTTGTAGCGCCGTCAGTGGCAGTCAGTCAACCATATTTGTTGCACGTGTTCGTTATGCAAGGCTGCCTTTTACCGCCTGGCTGGCCTGCTAAGTTCCCTGTCGCAGGGATCTTTCCATCTTATTGCCCTTTTCAGCGCAGCTGGCAATACTGTCAATACATGCATATGTAATTTATGCGAAAAGCATTGCCAGTATAAATATACATACATATACTATAAACATATAAATGTGTTTGTATGTACATAAACCTGTTTGTGTGTGGAGACCAGTTGCGAGTAGGAGAGAGCGCCGGCGAGATTTCATATGCACAGTGTGCAGCAACAGTGGATGCATTTGCACTAACATTGTGCTAACTCGCACCACTGTGCTCGCTTGCCAAAACGGACCAATGCATACATACATACATATGTACAAGCAAACACATGTATGTATGTATGTATACTCGATACTCTGCCTTGTCAGATTTTGTTCTTGTAACGCAAACATTTTGTTGTTTGGGTTTTTCTGATTTTCCTTTAGGGGTCTGATCTGCATTAGTTTGCGTAAGAGTGCATGCTCCCACGCGCGTCTTTAGTTTAACAGCAAATGTACGTTGCATAAAATGTTGACAAATTCTGTCCGTTGCTTTCAAATTATACAAAATAAAATCTCCGTATTCACTTACATTTGTATATATAAACCTATATACGTACCTATTTACACACACATGTAAATTGCAAACACACTTTCAGCGAAATACTCTCGCTTTTTGGCCTTATCAGTGGACAAAAGGCCAGGCTATTTGTTTGCAGCTCAGAGGCAAGAACACTGCTCTTCATCAACTTCTGCGCGAAACACTTGCGCTCGCTCACAAGCGTTGGCGTCGGCGTCGACGCTGTTGCTGCCGCTGATCATGCTCATGCTGCGCTGCTTGCTTTAGTTTGTTATCGACTCTCTTTCGGTTTGGTCGCAACAGTGAACAACTCACTGTGGGACGGTTGTGCGTTATGTGAATTTTTAAATACACATGTAGCATATTCTTAACCGCTGGCTCATACGCAAAACAAAAAATAGTAATAAGCCAGAAAGCGAGCGCGTTGTCGTTGGCGGCAAAGTAAATAGCAACAAACGCAAGCAAATAAACCGATAATGCATGTAGTTGTTGTTCGCCGTGATGAGTGCCATTCAACAAATTTAAAAATCCCTTGTGCGCAAGTCAATTATTTGTAACGCAGTGTGTGTGGCTGCCGCCACATCTATGCCAATTTTTGTGCAAAAACAAAACAAAACACTGAGCTTCAGCTGTGCAATAAATAAATAAATGTATAAAAAAATATACAAATATAAAAATATATATAGCAATTCAAATGTTCAAACGCATGCGCATTATGTGGCCAAGTCTGCATAAAAAATAATTACCAAATAAAATAATTAGCGAAAACAAAACAGATTCCGCAGATACATACCTACATACACATACTCGTAGATATGTATGTATATACCCATAGATTATAACTACAAATCTTCGTGAAAAGCGCAATAAAAGCAAAGTAATAGCAAACAAAAATCGTTCAAAATAGCGTTTTCGTTTTGTATTTGCTGAGCGTGTCCCGAGTGCGTGTACGTGTATCAGTGTGTGAGTGTGTGTGTGCGTGTGGGACTGATCCGTTCGATCTGCGTTAGCGTCGGCGTCGACGTTTCGTGTTACGAGCTCGAGCCGCGTCCTCAAAGAACCGAAACCCACAGAACAGACACAAATACAAGAGACAAGAGACGGAGCCAGATCCAGAGCGGACTCTTCCTCTTCTGTTTCCTTTCGTGCGCTTTGTTTCAGGCACGTAATCTCGTCGTTGGCTAAACCGTATAATCAACCTGCTGCTGTTGCCGCTGCTGCTGATCCACGATTAAAAACCAAGGGTTAAAGCCACAGAAAGGCCGCGCGTTACTCAAAAGAAATAAAACTATTATAATAATAAAGCATTTTAGGCTGCTGAGAGAGCACCTGAATCTAAATCTGAATCTGAAACTGGCGGTGCAATTCCTGCTTTTCTCGGCTTGCCTGCGCCTCCGTGTTCAATCAAGATTATGCGTCTAATTTGAGGCTGTAATTAATTTGGATACCCTAATAAAAAAAACAAAAGAGGCAGACGAAAGAACAACAAAGTATAATAAAATAAAAAAGAAGCAAAACTAAGCGGCTACTTCTCCCATTTTCGGGGCGTTGTAATCCCCGCATTGCGGCCGATACGCGGCGCTATTTTATTACCCACCGGTGAGTGAAGTGTTGAAAACAGTAGTTGAAGTATTTTTCTCCTATCCAGCAGCTACTAGATATAAACCTTTTTTTTTGTTTTTGATATGCATTTGTGTGCGTGCTGCCGGTTTCTTGAATGAATGAATCTATCGCTCGGGAACTGGTTTGTGGCAATCAACAACAGCAACAACTACGAGCTGTGGCATAAACTTGATTGTATGCACTTGAGACTACAATTCAGCGAGGATTTCTCGCCCAGCCCTTTGGGCCACTTGTTGCCTGACCAACACTAACACACACATACACACAGCACACTTGGCAACCCTTTCTGTGGGCCCCTTTAATTGAAATTACAACAGTTTGCTCTGCTTTTGTTTCCGGTGTTACACACAAAAAACAGTCGATGGATCTTCTGATCCCATCAATGAAATTGGAACTACACATTTTTTGGTTTCTTTTCTTTCTTTTATTTTTTTGGAGTTGGCTTTGTAAATGATAGCGTGTTAATGACTGCGGTTTGAAAGCTACTGCTGCTGAAACTTTTGTCATAACCTTTTGGTCATTGATCTGAGAGTTCTGGTTACTTGCATCGTTGTGGTCCAGACATGCAGGTCCTTCAATTTCAGTTCACTGCGTACCCCGGCTGCTGGTTCGTTCATTCGTTCGTTCGATCGTTCGTTGCCCCATACCTATGTACATACATGGTTAGTGTGCCATACGAGTATATTAAGACAGTATTTCTTTTCGTTTTTTGGTTTTATGGTACAACCTGCTGCAGACAGCAGACAACAGACACTGTTGGCAATTGGTTGTCCCATGGAGAGATGCGCACACGCAGACAGCCAACACATGTGCCCTGGCAAGATCAACAAAGAAGGCCCCTTCCGAAAATGAGGGAAAAAACAACAGCAACAAAAATGAGCAGCAACTAAAGTGTATTCTACCGTTACGTACATACAAGTATACAAAATTGCACCCCTAAAAATGTGTTGCATGCGCGCTGGGGAAGGAGTGCGCACCATATCGAAAGATCATATTCGTTTTCAATCTGTTCCTTCGAGCATCTGCTGTCCGATGTCCCGCACACAGTCTCAGCCTCAGCTTCAGCCTCACACTAACACCAGCACAAGCATGGCCTGCTTTATTATTTTTGCTGTCATTTTTTCTTTTTTTCGAATTCTGTATCTGTACGAATATCTGCCGCCTACCCATCCAATACCATATTACTTTTTAGGCTTGCTCATTTCTGGAGAAAACATATGCTGCACTGATATTGTAGACGGCTGCCTGTTGCTGCTGCCCTATCTCTCTCTCTCTCTCCTTTTCTCTCTCTTTTTAATTTTCTTTACGCTATCTGTTAAGTATGTAGCCTGAAGATAAGGTCATGTTCTGAAGGTAGATAGCAGTTGCAACAATTATTTATAAATTTCACGTCTAGCCCGGTATACGTCTGTTATTTGTGACTCCAATTGATCGATTCATGGCTCAAGAGTTACCAAATTAGAGACACTTCAGATTATCTTCAGACTAGTACGAGTGGCAGCCAAACCCAGAGATGTCGAGCCATAATACGTGCTTGGGCTGAACATTTGCATCCCAGAAATTTAATTCAACAAGCCCATATGTGTACCTTCATATGCAAATAAAATTATCAATCTAAAAAACGATAGAATTTCCTAAATTTGCGGGTCCTATGAAAAACTGTTCCCAACCTTCTCCTCCTTTTGACGCACCTGCCTAAACCAGGCATTATCATCGTGTGCTGTGCAGAAAATTAAATTACTACCTACATATGTATGAAATGGATTTGGGCAATAATTTTGGTATATAGTGTATATTTTTTAGAAATCTAATCTTGCTGTATTTGATGAATGAAAAACAGACGTCGAACATGTTTTTAATGAATGCGGGAATATCAGTTTTTGAGAATGCCGATTAACCCAATTGCTTAGGTGAGACAGTCTCTGAAGATTCTAATAAAACTATTGCAAATCATTTGTAAGAATAAAAAAAACCGTTTTGTTGTCTTGGAAATCGATGTCCAAACGGAAGCCTCAAAAATGTATACATTTAAATAAAATGCAAGGATGCGAAACTCCCTGAATTTTTTTTTTCGAAAATCATGCAAATTATATTTAAATGTATTTATAAATTCTAGGAATGAATATATGTTTTGTTCTTTTTTAAGCGAATTCTATGTTAGAATATAATGGATACATTTCAATAAAATACGAGGATGGGAGACTGCAGGAACATTTAGAGGAGATTGAATAGACAGTCGTATTTCTTCACATGCCTTGTCATAGATTACAGGCCATAAAATAATTCACTCCTATCTTGACTTATTAATAATCAAGTCTACACTATACTTCGAGGCCGTCCAATAATGAATAGAGTTGAAACAATATGCGGATCTATGTTTAAGCGGAATATTCAAATCAAACAAATCTTATATTACTGTATTGTTTTGAGAAAGTGGGTTGTCCAAATCCTATTGCTGCTTATTTTTCCTTTCCTTATAAATGACTCTTTGCTACTTAAAATATTGCAATATTGTTGTTCTTTTAAATGTTGTTTTGATTTTGAACATGATAATGAAAATGGAATTTTTTTTTTAAATGCTAAGAATGAAGACGAACTGCTCTCTGTATAAATAAAACATCTATGTACAGTTTCGGCTAGTTATACTTTTTATGCTTGAGAAGAAAAAGGAAAAGTTTAGGTTCATGTTGAGATATCAAATAGAACTGCGTTCAATTCAACAAATGATTATGCTAATTAAATAATCAGACATAATATAAGTATCACGTCATTCAAAATATCTTCACAATCTTCAGTTATTATCTCACCTACCTAATTAAATATTAAGTAAGTAGGAGACTTGTTATTTATTTATGACAAGCTCATTGCGGAGGCTCTAAAAAAGCAAGAAACCCGTAAGCTAAATTATGCATTTTAGCGCACTTCGTTGATAGACAGCTCCACGCTACCCGCTACCCGCTCCCCATCCCTCTACCCTACGCTGCTGAGCCACCCTCGCATGCTAATTAGATACGCTATGCAAATAGAAGTTTGCGGCGCATCTGTTGAAAGCTTTGTCTGTATACCAAACAGTTATCTACGCACGTTATCGGCACAAAAAGCAAAATAACAAAAACAATAACAAACTGTGCACATCTACATATGTATGTATAGTGTTTATATAATACGGATGTATGTACATATAGATATACATGTATATGCTATGTGTGACAGTGATCTGAGCAGATCTAACTGAAAACCGTTGCATAAATTTTGTGCGCTTGCGAAATTCATTTCGATTTGATTTGCTGATTCTGTCGCAGATGGCATGTTATAAAATGCTTAAAATTACATTGGCATACAAACAAACACACACACACCCATACATCCATATGGGATATATACATATACATACTATACGTACTATATACATCAAGTGTGATTGAGTGCACTAAAAATGAATTTAAGTTAATCAACATTTAAATGGATAATAAAAATCAGAGTGCAGCCAATTGCTGTTGCAATGTACTAGCTGGGCAACAACAACAATATTACACGATTTTATATACATACATATATATATATATATATGTATATACATACATGTACATTTGTATATGCTATGAGTCTACACGTACTATATTCTGCGGTTGGACGAAAATAAAATTATTGACGCATAAAATTGGCACAGAACATAAAAATTGATTTTGAGTGAAACGCTAGAAATTTATTATAAAACTAATTTGGTGCTTTACTAATTATAAATATTGTTGCTAGAAAATATTATATTGATTCCCGGTTCCTGAGAGGGAAAAGTGTATATGTACTGAAAAGACTTAATGTCAAATGTACGCCGAGCACTTTTGAGCCATAACAACCAGGGACATCAAACTTGCTTTCCATGCTTTCAAACTTTTCTTATCCATAGTACGTTAAGAAACCTTATTAAAAACCATCAATAGCGTTCTTATTTTATATGATCAAAGGTATAGTTTTATTTATCACTTTTATCATACATTTATTTTCTAATCTATCGATGTATATTAATAGAATACTGATTGGCGACCAGCGCATAGCCCAAACGGTGAGAGAAAGCAAGTTCGGTGAGAACTGGTCTATTCGATCTTCAAGGGGGGAAAATGGGCTCCAAAGTTTCTGCATTTTGTAAACAATTAACTTCAAACTCGGCTTGTAAACTCTAAAAAGAAATGCAAAACAATCTGGATTCATGGTTTTTGGATTCATTTAACATTTCTTGGTTTTTTTCAAAAGAAATGTTTCTGCTTAAATTCAAACGACCATGTTTCAAATTTGGAAAACATGCTCACCATGTCTTGCTTAAATCGCATGGTGCTGTGCGAACCCCGAACCCGATCAGATTAGTTGTTTGCTTTCTGACTCTTCGTAGTCTTTCTAAAAACGCCTTAAGTCCTTCTAATTCTTCACATAGATGTCGCTTTTCCCATTAGTTTGTGATCCATCCTTCTTCTTTATCTTTTTTACTCCACGGCCCCCATATCGCGTTCTTTTCAACTGCTCCACATCAGGCGTCAGCACTTATTAGCTCTGAGAACCCAATGGCATTTTATCGCTCTATTCGTTTATCGTTTAAATATTGTATACACACACTACTTTTATGCATTTATATGTAAATTTGTATAAATAATTTATCGTTTGCTTTGCTTTGTTTTTCTTATAAGTTTATCTGTAATTCCATGCCCAAGCCCATATTTATGAGGATTTATGACAGCATCAGTGACTACTTGTACAAAATTTTACTAAACAAGGCATGTGTGCCAGAGAACTGGTCAGACGATAGCGTTCTTTTAACCACTTCCTGTGATAGTAATAAAAAAAAAGTACAAATTTTCCGTTATTTGGGTGGATTTTTGAATGGTTCCTTAGAAGTGTTATCGTCAGAGCTCGTCACCGAGCGCGCCATATAAAATTAAATAAAGCTAAGCAAAGAAATTTTTTTTTTTTTTTTGAAAGAACTCCTCCGATATTTGTGAGTCTATATGGGGAAAATGACGAAGAACAAACCCTTGCCTAAAACTAAAACTACATACGTAATGGATGCTGTGTAAACAAATTTTGGTCTATCTGTGGAGTCGGCTCCTTTTGTTGTGGCCTTGTCGCAGTTGTGAGTACGGATCGGAACTTTTGATGTTGCTGAGGCGTGCACGCAACTTTGAAATGTGCCGATTTTGTTGTTATGCATATATACTTGTATGTATGTACACAACAAGGTACGGACGCTCCATCCCGTCTCCGAGCCACACAAAGACTCGCAATGAGCCGCAAGAAAAAGTGTCATAATTTCTTGAATCAACAAGGCGGGCAACAGGCAGGCTGTTGGGCTCACCTGGTGAGCCTCAAATTGAGCGAAAAGGTGTGAAGATCGCTGTGAGGTTGAATAGTTGAAGGTGTGAATGGGACCGCATGCTAAGAGCTCAATAATTACCTGGTAATGGGCCGAAAAGCGCCAGTGCCATTGTTTATAATGTTATTTGGTATTCTTGTTGTTGTTTTAGTTGTTGTGACTGAACTCGAAATATTAATTGTTTATTAGCATCTCAATTGTTCGCTTAATTAATTTGGTTTCCCTTATTTTTTTTATTTTTAGATGCCTACGCAATATGGAACTAGCGATTTGTAAAACAGACTTGCCCACCACGAAATTTATGCTGCCGCCCCCGCTGCCAACTGCAGCAGCAATTGCAACAACAACAGCAACAACACACTCGTCGAGTGCAGCAGTGACGGCCTCATTCCTGGACAAAGCGGCCCAGCTTAACGAGTTATTTAATCTCAACGCCGGTCATTTGTTCAGAGCCAGCAACAGCAACAGCAACGGCAACCACAATAGCAACAGTCCGTGCCATAATTTAAGCAACACCCCAACAGCAACACCAGTTCTTAGCAACGCCAGTGGCACTCTCAACACCACCAACAACAACACCAACAACTGCAACAATAGTAGCAACAGCAATATGAGATTGAAAAAGAATCGCAAAGTGACATTTCTATCCAGTCTAGTTGAGGTAAGAACTACGAAGTACATGTATATAAAAAGAAAATTAAGATATAAATAATTTTATTTCATACATAAAATATTGCACATCACGTATAGAAACTACCTACTATGTACTATTATTATCCTTTCATATTATACTCCAGTAGATAAAGCTTGATCCCATTCTTATCACATTTTCTAGACTTTCCTAAAATTCTTGCCAAAAAAGGTGTACCAGGCACCATGTTATATACAAATATATTTATCAAATCGGTGTAGACTTGCCCGCCTATTCGTCCGCATGAACCATGAAAACTTTTCAACCATAACAGTTAGGGGCACCAAATTTTGTGTATATAGTATAAAAAATATATTCGCATTATTTTATGTAAAAGTACAAAGGAACGACCTTTTCTAAATTCACCCTTGCTTTCAATTTTTGTCATTCAGATATTTTAAAAACTTTGTTATTTTTGAAATTTCCTAATATCTTACTATAACCTGCTATATTTCTCAGATGAACGATTGGTGCATTAACGTTTATTTTAGTTGAAAAATTGTGGAAAGAAGAGGGGCGATTATAGTCTATGCAAGAGTTGGACTCTAGCCATTTGAACCTTCTACTAGTTTTCTTTGAGAAGTATTTGTACAGATAATTTTAAATGAGAAACCCATAGTATGGATTTATATACATCTATAAAGAGGATGTGTCAATTAAACAGCAATTTGTCAAAACCTTTATCATGTACATACATCCATATTTTCAAAGATCCAATTCTTTTCATTGTATAGTACATATAATCAGATTGATCTGAAACAGACAAATATCATATCTAACTAAATACTAACTAGTTGTACATCAATTGAATGTCATCCATATTTTCAAAGATCCAATTTTTTTCGTTATAAATCTTTAATAAGGAAAAATAATTAGGGTATAGCATAATCAGATTCATCAGAAACAGACAAATGTCATACCTAACTAAATACTAACTAGTTGTACATCAATTGAATGTCTCTGAGACTCTTAAGAAGCCAGAAAGTCAGTAAATGATCAGTCAATGGACATTAAGCTGTGCACCTAGGAAATATTTTATTCCACGGCTTAACTACATATATGTATTTCATAACTGTATTATAAAATAGTCCTAAACCTCATCTTCGTCTGGCCACAGTTGGCACATTTCGTAGCAACAATGTCGATGCTAAAAATAAACGATTATCTGAAGAAATAAACAATCGAAGCCTAGTTGACATAAAAATTTGAAATCAAAACGACACAACTACGGTTTCTTATAGCGCATGACAGTATCGCAGTGTGTCAGTGGCAGGCGTCAGTCATCCGTTTTAATACTATATATAGTATATATCGAAGATATTTCATCATGCGAAGCACGTAGGTTAACTCTAAATTTGGATGCTCAAAGCAAACGCTATTATTGTGAACTACGCTTTTGTACTGAATAGTTATTAATGCATACCCTGCAATCACAGTTAAGTGGGCCATAGGGATGTGCACATGCATTTCGTATGCTCTGAGTACTGGAATAGTTCCGAGAAATCTGTTCTAAAACATATTAAGTGAAGGAAGCACTTTTCCAATGGCATTTTGGAGTGATATTCAACAAATTTATTGATAGAAATGAGATGAAGAGATGAAGCTACATTTAGTTAAAGATATATCAGACAAGAATATCGAATTGAAATGTCAGACAAAAAGAAGAGGTTCAATATATGAGATGACAATATTTACCAAATAACAGATATGAATACCAATAATGGAAATATGAAAGAAAACGTTCAATACATAGGAATCAGCCACATACATCAGACGACTGTTCTATATATTGATATTTGGAATAACTCATTGAAAACTCTAAAAGAAAAGTGATGAGGTGGAAATATTAGCTATAATACTAAAGAATATTCGCTAATACATATACTAGATGTTAATAGAAAATGCAAATTTAGAATTCCAGTAGACAGATATTGTTTAGATAATACTTATGAATAAGATATAAAAAATATCACAGCAATATGACAAATTTTTGGCTATATTTATTCAAATTTTAGAATGCTAATACATAGATCAGTCTCTGTTTTAGCTATAAAATGTATTTGATAATAATATTACAATAGAAATATATTATATCACTTAAGGTACCGATATCTACCCCATGTTCGCACCACAACTCGGCTTGTTCATTGTTTAGAGCAGTTTCTAAGCGTTCAATCATTTGCATTTTCTTTGTTTAGAGCATTTTATAAGTGTTCAATCATTTGGGATCATAATTTTAGCTTCGACTACTATGTAGGTGTGTCTCCTAATCTATGACGCACAACCAGTCCAATGTGCATGCTAAAAATATTCAATGACGTTGCTGATGCCTTGTCTAAAAAAGGCAGACAGCGACGAGGACAATGCCTCGTCCTTGTACGGCTTCGCCAACTGTCTGTTGGAGTCTCTCAGCTGATCACCGTGGATCACACTTGACATAGCTATAGTATGTATGTATGTACTCGTATATGCCACCTATACAGACAATACTATATATACTCGGGCAGGTTGCGGTAAACATATCCGCTGCTCTGACCACTTTCATCCGGTCAATGTAGAAAGGCCAACACCCTGCGCACATATCAAAAGGACCTGCAACCTGGAACCTCTGCGCATGCGCACTCGCTTGGAAAATGCAGTCAAGTAACTTAATCTTAGAGTGTCAACTAAGGTTGAACGCAATGGCTATTGAATTTCCTGCCATGGCATACACATACAATGTTTGAGATCGAAAGTAAATGAGATTCGGTTCGATTTCGACACCGAATGTCCCGAATTAGGCAATAAATGGATAATAAGACTTTGGATTGATTCGTGGCATGAACACTTTTTATTGAATTATAGTTTAAAGCGATTGTTGCCTCAGGCTTGTCTTAGACCTCTAGTTAAAATAATTTAAAATGAAAGGTATAGGTGTAGAAATATTGTCTTGTTTTGGAATTGCCTCCTCATCCAAAATTCATCAAATCATCGAATTTAAAGGTCGGGTGTCAGATGACAGTTCGATTCATGAAATTGCGGCTTATCTCTCATCAAAATCATTTGTCTAAGTTTAAAAATAAAAAAATGTTGTATTAAATCACGACTTGAATTACTTATGTTTTATATAATTCCTTTAATTTTAAATTTTTTTTACACTTTCGGTTAGCTGCTCAATCTGAATTGTCTGTCATCCATTAGCACTCGACAACTACTTAACTATCGGGCAATACAGGAACTGGGCTATTCCTACTATCTCTTACTAATTACAGTGCTCCTGCACATTCATAAGCAAGAGCGAATTCTGTCACCTATTATTGTATTGAAACTTGCATTAATGGCATAATTCCCTTGTCGGGTTGTTAAGTTTCCAGTAAGATTTGGTCCAGACTGTTTCAAGAGGCATTCAACATTGTTTGTTCTCGAAAAGCTGTAGAAATAATTGAATCGGATCATGTTTATTAGGCACTCAATTGGTTGATTCTAAATAATCCGCTATAGTATATACGAATCAACCGATATGCTCCTTCACATTATTATTCACATTATTATTATTAGGGAACGAACCTGAAGACCCAGCTACCGAATTGATATTAAATCGAATTTAAGTTTCAAAAGCGAGCCTAGTTTGAGCTTTATTTCGGGATTTTTGTGTAGCTTTCTGTTTAATAAATTCCAATTCATAAGTCCTATTTAGGTAGCTCTAAAAGTTTTCAGTCTAAATTTGCATATGTGTCATATGTGTGTGTATGTGTGTGTGTGTGTGTGTGTGTGTGTGTGTGTGCGTTTGTGTAGTGTACATTTTTAGAATCAAATTCCAAATTTCAAATTGAATTGTCTGCTTGTTGGGGCTTTATTCAATTGATTATGATATTTATGAAACATTTCGTTTGACTATTTTGACCTCCATTATCATTAATAAACAACGACATCGTCGCCACAATGGAGAGACAACGACGTCGTGCCTTCCAATTATTATGTTTGGTTTTGTTTTATGCGTTTTTTGTTTCAGCACTTTGTGGCACACTCTACAAAACGATCGTCGAGTCAAATGTACAATTCAATTTATTAGAACGCGTTTAACACGATCAGGCAGCGGGTGTAGGGGTTCCAAATGCCAAATGGAGGTGGGCAATCATTTATGAGAGCTGCTGCTCTGATTCTACCCAGAGACCGTTTTCGTTTCAGATTGGGGTGCTGCTGCATTGTAAATGTGTAATTGGGTAAAAGTGGTTTGTTTACAAATACATACATGTACATACGTGTACCTCATTGACTGCCTGACTGACTGACTGACTGACTGTCTGCTTGACTGCTTGACGGATGAGTTAAGTTGCCGTTCTCATTCTCATACATGTGCTACATGCTTGTTTGATTATTTGTTTTAGTTCTTCCCAAGAGCACGCTATGATTCTACAAGTACAAGTATACTCGTACACATATTGGCAGACCCATTAGACAAACTATGAATGAAGATGTAAAAGTAATATACACACATACCATATACTTGTACGCGTACATATCTATATTGTAAATATTTATTCACAATTAGTTCTGCCTAATCGTCTGTGGTTGATTTAAAAGGTCTGTTAGTACTATCTTATATTTGAATATGTTTTATTATTTAAAAGCGCATCTTCTTTAAATTATCAAACAATATCTCTTATACATATGCTTGAGGGCCTCTAAAGTTGACCCGAGAGTTACAAGAATACTTGTACAATGTTTTTATTTGAAACTTATATTAATTAAGATATCAATGATACATTATACTTTACTTTATTGGATTATACATGATAAGAGAGCAACAGTTTTATAGTTTTTGATACAAATACCACTCAACCCAAAGGCACTCCGTCTCCGATTTACACGGATTAATGCATTACAGAAAAAATCTTTGAATATGATTTCACAGCAACGATTTAAACACACGCGTCTAAACGTATTTATGGATGGCTCTAAGCTTGGAGGTGGAATCTTCCTTTTTTCCTTCTCCCTCTTGTTTATATCAGGCAGAGTGTTACAGAAATGCAGGAGGACTGACAATACCTACCCCAAAAAAATTGTGGGTAGCATGCTACGCGATTTGCCAAGTGGAGCTTTGGACGACAGGTCCAAAGTCATCCCTGGCTGCCCAAGATAAGCAACTTAAAGATTCCTGCACAGATGGGGAAGATAAAGAAAGCGTAGAGCATATACACTTTTGGTGATTATAATCATATTTGTTGGTCAAGTAACCGGCATGATTTTTAGACCCAGCTAAGCCAAGTCCTTGCGTCCCTCAGCCTGTAAAGACTTAATCAAGCTGTAAAAGGCAAGGTTCGCAGAATTTTGCTCATTTTCCTCATTGCTCGTGGGTATGTGAGCAACATTTATTAAGTGGGAAGCCTCATGCTTGGAATTAAAATGTAAGCACTAAGCAAATGTTGAAGTGGGTTCAATGACCTAGCATCAATTTATACCCATATTTTAAAAGGAACATATATCAATTACAATCGATTCGTTAATGCACGTATCTATGTATATTAACACTCTATTATATTTATTGCAGTCCGAAAATATATACATTAAGGAGGAGCCAGGCTGCAAGGATTTGCGTCCACCCCTATGCAGTTTATCGGATATTTCAGATCATGACACCTCAATTGGTAAGTTTCGCTCTCAACTATACAAATGCAACTATCGTTTGTTTTATTATTTTTTTTTTAAAGTACTATGTACGTCTATAAATGTAGTACGAGTATATATTTTATGATGAGCCCCATTTATTTTATGGCTCTCGATGATGTGTTTGTTGTTGCTGTGTTTTCTTTCTGCAAGCCCTGATAACATTTTTCTAAGAAATGGCATAATTGGAGTGCAAACTGTTGTGCATGTTCGGCTCTGCTTCTTCTTCTGGTTTCTCTCACTTATTTTTGCGCTATCTTCGCGCATGTGCCAGCGCTTTAGCGATCGAGTGGGAGCGCGGGATGGAAATTCAGAGAGCGATTCGAAGTGCTCGTGTCTGATATTTGGCGGCAGCTAATTTCTTTGCGCTTGCTCGTGTGTGTCAAAAATATTCTACACATATGTATGTATGTATACTCCTATATATGATGTATGTAGGTATATAAATGTATGTGCTTACAAATGCCATCAGTCATGTTCGCTTACTCTTTACGTTTTTGCAACGAAATTATTATTATGTGCTCTTTGAACTGGCGATAAAAAAAAACCGAATACAAATTATTACTGATAAGATAAGTAACCGAAAAGCGAAAAACGCGCCACACTCTTTGTGTTGTTGGTGTTGCAAACAAAGCGACGAAGATAGCAAATTTTATTCTATGAAGTATCTATTTAACAAACATAGGCTATACAAAAGGGCCACAATAGGGCAATGGAATTCGAGTAAATACAAAACTTGTCTTGGTAGAACGACCTTCACAATTGTTTTCGAAGGCAATTATTCAGGGAGAACCAGACTTCAAACATGGCAAAATATACCATACGCTCTATATTATAAAAATTATTTTAAAAATTATTCTATACCATATCAGTTTCACGCACTTCCCAACTGAGGCTCAGATTTCCAAAATCAAACTCTCAAAAAAATATAGGGAAAGGTCTGTAAGGTCTGTGATGTCTGTCCTTGATTTCGATAATTTCGGTTCTTAGATTTCAATATAATTGAAAATCGTATGTAGGAATTCTTTTCTTAGTCGGGGATAGGTAACTGAGCCTAGAATATTTTGGAATAAACAATTTAGATTTCTATTGTTTTTCTTTTTCTTGAACATCCACTTTCTAGTTATTGTACGGAATAGTTGACGCACCAGTGTCTTAAAATAATTGGCATGAGCAGAATATTGATTATTCATTTTAAGCCTATAACAAATAAGATTTAAGTAAACTTAGAAGACACGAATTAAAAACAATCTATAAGATCTTAAGCTAAATATTGAGATTGAAAGCTTCGTCGATATCAATAGATTTCAGATATCATGGGTCTTAGAAACAATATGTTCTAGTTAGCTGCAGCTTTGTTATGGCTTAAGCGTATCTTTTGTAAGTATTTTCTATCGCTTTATTCGCTTTTTCCATTCTTATTTATCAGGCATTATTTAAGTATATATACTATAGTTATGGCCATTTTATCGAAATGAATAAGCAATTAAAAGTAAATGCATTTGCTGGTCGCTCTTGGTTTGGTGTATTCTCGCCTTTTTCTATAGTTTGTGTTCATATTTTGTAAAAAGTCACGTCGTTTATTTCCGGTGTCCATTCACACAGGCACACCTAAGCGCGGCATATTGCCAAGCAAACTTACAGATTCATTCACTCATTCATTCATTCACACACACACACACACATGCACACACACACGCATGCGTGTCATTCAATTCTGGCCAAGCCATGAAACATTTGCATTTCAAATATTCAAAATAAATATCTTAAAATGTGCGCCCTGCACTGCAACAAACTCAAAAATCAACGCCAGCCGTTGCTGCTGTCAATCAGGCAATACGTCAGTCATTCAGTCAGTCACTCAAACTAAATATACGTATACTTAATGTGACAAAGCGTGCGTGTTCTTTGTGAGTGTGTGTGCGTGTGTGTGTTGTCTTTCTCTATTACTTATGTATCTGGTAGCTGTATGGTAATTTATTACACATCTTTGTTCTAAGATTCTGAATAAATGTGTGGGGAATCGAGTAAACAATGTACTCGTTTTACCTATGCCTGAAATCTTGTCTTTTTTTTAATAAATTGGGCTTAAGTGTTTAAAAAAACTGTCGAGCTATTGAATATGGAAATGAGAAAACAAGCTCCAAGAGTACTTCTATTCTTAGAAGAAAAGTAATGTTACACACCAACCCCTTTTTCATTTTTTCTTTACATTTACGTTGGTTCAAATTTATCAACAAATCAAATTTAAATTAACAATAAATGTCCTTAAATATCAAATCTTAACCAACCATCAAGCAATGCAAGCAATTAGTTGTACTTTATATAGTCGGAATTTTTCAGTATATGCTATATTTAAATGTTTCCTGATAACTAAGTAGTAATGTAATCCATGTAGGGGCGAAAATCTCAGCACAATTATCAAATTCATTATATGCCTATATTGACTCTACTTGTCATAATTTTTTCGCCACAAAATTTATAGCAAAAGTTTGGCTATCAGAAATGTGTTATCTTGCTTTTTATGGACCTTTAAATATTTGACTTTGTATGATAGCATCTGGGGTTACAATAACTCGCACAAATATCGTCAGAAAAACGAAGTACTTATGTAGTTGAATTATTGATTGATTATTGACCCATAATTTATACACAAAAATGTAAATCGACTACTATTATTATTATATTTTGAAATTTGAAATGTTTGGCCCCGTTTTTTCATTTATATTTGCATTGTTTTATTATTAGAGTTGTAATAATTAATGATTTCTTCAATTGATTTATGACAACTTTCTGAATTTGGACATTTTTATACCTATTAGCTGAAGGGCTAAAGTGTTTGCTAGAAGGTGTAAGAGCAAAATGTATTCACATAAGGGACAGAAAAATGCATGCATGCAACATAGCATCTATTGTTATATGTATGTAAATAGGTATATATACTTACAAGTATGCTTAATATGCTTAATGATGACAAAAATCTATTCGTTCGTATAAACACCGAGAACTTACATACATATGTATGTATTTACCATAACAGCTAGGGACATCAAAGTTATCATATAGACTCGTTTTTTTATACAGAAATCCATGACTGTATAGAATTTTTATGTAATTTACCTGTTAAGGAAAGATCGGTGCAGAAATCACCCTTAGTACTGACAACTTCTTTATTTGTTATAGTTTTTTAAAGTCTCTCACTATATTCTGAACTCTTATCGATTATATCATTTAGCTGGCATACGAATGATTGGCATACAAAAGTTTATTTCACTTGAAAGACTATACTGGCCTTTAAAATTTTAAATGTTATGATTTTGTATTTTGATTGCCGTCGGCAATTTGCGAATTTGAAATAAGTACGATGCCTGTCAATATTTGCAGTCATTACTAATTTCTGAAAATATTAGATTGGTTTTTATTTAGAATACATAAAAAAGGTCAAGTAACTTCTTGAAAACTCCTTATGATCAGACAGCTATAGATCAGAATTTATACAAGGAGAAATACCTTCGCCATCAAAATAATATGAACATATAATTTGTTTTATTTTTTGCATTTGCGATTTCAATCAGTTGTTCATTGCTTACAATAGACAATCAGTCTGGTTCTGCTGATTACATATCTGTTGAAAATCATTGCCATAATAAACGTAACACATGTGCAGTAATATTTCTGAAAAATCTGAACAATAAAGTAAAATTAAACTAAATGCTGCTAATAAAAACAAACAGCATTTTTATTATTGTATTGTATCTAGGTATACACATACATATATACATACATACGCACGCACACACACTTAGGGGGAATTTATGTCTTATCGCTGCGTAAAAATCTACAAGCGCAAACAATTTCAATGTCAACGCGGCAAAAACAACAAAACAATAAAGTCAAAAGTAGCAGCAGCGGCGAACGGACAGAAGTCAGTGCCCAACTATACATAAGTATAAACATATGTATGTACATACATATATACACTTATGTGTACGAGTGTGTTTAGGTATGGTTGTGTGTGGCAGTCAGTCCCTTACTAAAATTGTATTCGCAAGATACTTTTTGTGCTCACCGCTAGAAAAGCGCGCAAATCAACAAGAACAAAAAAAAACATGCAAAAAGCGGCGACAACTGCGCATATGTATGTACGTATTTTTATATGTTTGTATGCCTCATTGAATAAAAGGGGAGTCCGCACGTAAATTTAGTTTACATTATGTATCTGTATCTGAGAGATGCGCGCCTGCCTGACTGACTAACTAGCAGGCAGCCTGCCTGCCTGCTTTCCTCACACTCATGCATACATACATACCTACACATCTATGTCTACACCAATACAAATGTGCGGGGTACATACTGCCCTTATTTTAATTATGTATATTTGTTTTATTTTTGCGCTCTTTTTCGCTTCATAATTCTTTGCCATTTATAATCAACTCGTGCATTAATCACAAAACTTTAAGAATAACAGCGCAAAAGCAAACAACAACCAGAGAGAAAAATAAAGCAAAAATATAATTTTGATTATTAAATATGCTTTAATTTGTATGAAAAAAACAAAAACAAAAATTGGTTAAATCGTCATCAGCTTTGGCGTCGGCACTCAGTCTCACTTTTATGGTGTTGGTGAGAGCAACAGTGGGCCAGCGCCAAAGCAAAAGAGAGTGCGACATACAAGAGAGCGCGAGAGTGCAGTTGCCGCTGTTTAAGCGTCGCAGTCGTCTAGCCCCAACTTTCATTCATTTTGGCGCTCGGCCGCTCATTTCATTCATTCATGCTGCAGTCGCTGTCACTGTCGCTGCCGCTCTGGGCGTCGCTGTTAACGTTGCTGTTGCTGCTGCTGCTGCTGCGGTGCTGTCTATGGCTACTGTGGGCAGTAGTTTAAGCTCTCGCACAGCTCTCCGAACAACAACGGACAACAGGCAACAAAAACAAAAAACACGTTCGTTTTCATTCATATAAAAATTTCTGGTTCTGCAGCCACAGCCACAACCAACGCCAAACGCCGCCAACCGCTGCTTGATCGCCTCGCAGCGTTGAAATGCAGTTGATGAATGGGGGACCAACGCACAGTGGGACAAAAATAGCACAAATTGAATAGCGGGAAAATGTATGGTGGCAATAGATAGATATAGATTGTATGTACTTGTATACTCGTATACTATTAATAGACTGCTAGCCGAAAAATATGCAACTTAAAGATATTGACGTTTGAATGTCCCCTTCATAAGAACAAATCACTTTCAAATCAACAATCAATCTTGATACGCTCTCAATTACGATGTACTTTGAAGATACGAAGGGATACAAAAAACTTAAAAGCTATGAAATCAAAATTACAAACAATTCAAACAACTTACTTGCTTTATTTACTGTGTGATAGGTATAATAAGGCTATATTGTATACGTAATGTATTAAAGGCAGCTGTATGTACGGTGTTCTTTCTGATTTGTTGAAAAATAATTCTAGTCGAATAATATTTCAAAATATCAAACTCATAAAATCAGAGGCTATATCGGTTAATTGCAAATTTTTATGGTCGGGTTTGTTTACGGTCCGGCAGAAGTTTAAGTTCAGGTTACAAGTATTTTAAGATATAACAACTCTCTATAAGCGGACGACCTTTTCTCAGCGTCTAATAGCAGAAATTGGTTACCTCTATGATCATGCTATGTTCGTACTATCTGATATTTTATTGTTTTACCATCAGATTGCAATATACTACATATCCTTACACTTTTCAGTAAAATACATTTTAAGCCCAGTGTGCAATGCTGCGTTGACGCTGCTGCTGCTGCTGCTGCTGGACGCCAACTGCCTTTTCTTGTTGTTGTATTTAGATGGGGAGGGGATCTTTGGTGCATGGGTGTGTGAGTTGTTTGTTGTTTTTGGATCATCGCTGCTTTGTTGAAGTTCTGTTGTCGATGCTTGATGTTTGTTTCCTTCCTTTTTGCGTGCCCCATAATGTGAACTAGGGTGTGTGTGCGTGTATGTGTGTGAGTGTGTGTGTGTATTCCTGCAAACCGGCTTCGACAGCAAACTTACGTCTCATCTAGACTCCAATCGGAGACAACGACTTTTTCCCCCTCTCTTGGGATACGAAGTCGCTTGCCCAGCCCCAAAGTCGTGGTCCCGGCTTTGACCGTGGGCGCGTCGATTATACATAAAAAATACATACATATGCATGTACATACATATATGCAGGTATATATGTATATATTTTGTATATATGTGTAGTATGTGGCTGATTCCTCACTGCTGCCTAGTCCCAGTGACTTTATATTTATTTTGATTTTAGCTGTTTCTTTTATTTATTCATAATTCGTCCCCCATTCCCAAAAGACAAAAACAAAAAAAAAAAAAACAAAAACAAAACTAACGCACACATTTGTGAACAGCTGCTGTTGATTTTTATTCAAGATCTGCTGCTGCTCCTCCTCTACCTCCTTCTCCTCCTGTTACGTCTTCTTCTTCTTCTTCTTCACGTTGGTGCTCCATCAAACCAGTTGCCAGTCCGCCTGCCTGCCTGGTCTTTGGTTCATCTTTAACGGCGACACTTGCTCGCATTTCTTGTTTAGCTTTTATTTTAATTTAACTCTTTTTAGACCTTTCAAATTTTCTTGTTCACAGATTTTTGAAGTGCTGCCGTTGTTGTTGTTGTGGTTGTGGTTGTTGCTATAATTATTGTTGTTGTGCTGTTTTTCATGGAACTGCTGCGTTAACAAAATTTTTTTCCTCGTCAAACTTACAATTTTTCATTCATACGCTTCATTCATACATACATATATGTATATTTCTTTTTGTTATTGTATCTACACTTTGTGGGTAGGTAGGTATAAGTATCTAAGTGTATATGTGTGTGTGTGTACATAGTTTGTTTGCCTGTTTTATATTTCATATGCACGCCACTTTGTACTCACTTACTATACATATGAGGCGTGTGTTGGCTTTTTGCTTTTTTTTTACGATTTTTTCCTTCTTTTTATTTCTCTGCTTCTCAGCTTTATATTCATTCATAAATTAATTCAGCGTAAGTTTTTCCCCCACTCTGCTCTGCACACACTTTTCGGTCGAATGCAGAATTTTTATTCGTCATTTTGCATATTGAAGTAGCTAATGGGAAATTACTGTAGCATTCAATTTCTTATGGCCTATGCAATCGTAATTTTAGAACTAATCGTTGCTAATCTTGAAGACTTCTGTAAAATCGTTGTTCGTATTTCTAACATTTCGTGGCAATGCCAGGCATCGGCTCTTTGCTTTTTAGGCAACGGAGCACATTTTTTAATGAGTCAATTTTTAAATGATATTGTGTTTAGAAAAGTATTGTATCACTGCTTCATGATTTGGCATATTGGCAATGTGGGATACCCCTATACAAAAAAGCCTCTATCCATTCCTAATGAGTCGATAAATTTAATCAAAAATGAATGCCAATTAGAAATACATTCGGCTTATTTTACAAATTTTCTTGCAACTAAGACGCCTGACATTGTGTAAAATATTTATGTCCCCAAAACTGTCAGTTAATTTAGGTTTCGACGATTCCATTAATGGTAAATAAATGAGTTCGGGTATGTTTACGATCCGGTTTTAGTTTCAGTTAAGGAAATTTTAAAATATGAACGGTTCCTGGTTAAAAATTCCAAATTCGTGTGAAAATTTTGATTTTATATTTAGATAATATTTCTATAATACTAGTGCTCCTACAAAGGTCTGAAAGAAGTGCTCTATAAACCAAACTTATACTCTTTAAAGTGTGCCTATTGAGTTCTTTCAAAAATTGCTTATACTTTTTTATTTCTTGGAGTAATTTTTGTTGGGTTTTCAGAAAGCCGAGATAACTTAAAAATTGTTTTTTCAAAAAGATTTAGAATGCAGCTGCCATAAATTTGTATTATTTAATATAAAAAATGTTTGAACTATATAATAATAATATAATATTACATTCTGACGCGATTAGGAAATGATTTCAAAGTTAGACATTAGCAGTGATTGTACTTTAGAAAACAATTTATAGATAATCATTTTATAGATTTGCCTTGACTATTAAAAGTATTGACAAGCGCAGCGAATTAAGGCATATCTTAGTTACCCCAAAGCGCTTGATAAATAGATTTGTAGATATAATATTTAGACCCAAAAGTACTTTGAATGCAACGCCAATGCCAAAAAGTTTTGCGATCTCTCTAAAGATTTTCTTAACTATTAAAAGTGTGATTACGTGATGAGCCGAATTAAGCAATCGTCATCTCATAGATGCATTTTTTTTTGTTATCATCAGACGTCAGTACCATTTTGATCCCAAAGAAAACATCATAACTGAAATCTAACACGTTTTTAATCTAATCTGGAATTTGCTACCGAATTTAAAGAAACTCAAAACTTTTGTTGCCTTGCAGCGGTTTATCTAATCACGCTCTTCATACTATTAATATCACAAGAGGTCTCCCGCATTCATTCAACTCTTGGCTAGATTATTATTTTGTAATTCATTCTGCTGTATATATTGTATCTTTTTAAGGTCTTTTCCATGAAAAAAAGACGGATGTGCCTAAATTGCAGCATCCCATGAACCAATTAATTTTTGCGCCGCTGCTTTTTTTTGTACACATGTACATATGTGTATATACGAGTATATATGTACTTATAGTATATAGAGAGAACATGAAACAGAGACATTCAGACGCACTCGCAGCTGAGCTGGCAGCATGCCTAATCAGCACGATCGGGATTGTTGTTGGTTGTGCATAAAAAACAATAACAAATAAAAAAACTGACCAAGCACAACAACAGCTTGCAGAGGTGTCTGAGCTAGGTGTGTGGGTTGTATCTCCCCTCCCGATCCCTCCCCTCCCGATCCCTCCCCTCCCATTTATGCATAATATCAAATATGCAAACAAATTCTGAAGAGCACAATTCAAGGCACAAACATTTAAATCTACAAAAGAGCCTAAAACAAACTCATCTTTGCAGATGCCTTCCAAGATAGTATTGTTTTTCTTTGGATCTGAAGAGTTGGATGCAAATCTAATGGCAACATCAGAACTTAAAGTAGCAAAAGTACGCGTATATCCGTACAAGTATACTTTAAGATTTCAGATATTTTTGAAAGCAATTCTAAATTTATATTTCAAACAGTCTCAATCGAGATACTATCTGAAGCTTTGAAAGCAATCCTACACTATCCATTTATCCGAAAGTCTACCAGTTTAGACTGATTCGGCTGACAATCAGAGATCTATTCTTTTACAGCAACAGGATAATATTCTCTTCTGCTCTTAATAAAGAGACATTAGCTTAAAACACTAGTCTAAGCCAAGTAGGAGCTTTAGTTTCCCAACTTTCTGAGTGCCCGCAACCTTCTCCCATCCTACACAGTCTATATTTTTCTATCTTTAATATTATTGAAGAAATAATTCTCAAAGTTCGGTTCTTTTTATTAAACGTCTTTAATTATTTCTACCAAAAATCTAACTTCTTGTAAGCGCGCAATGCGATCGCCTGGGCGCATAATAATAGAGGATTGTGCGCATTTCGAGCTTCGAATTGGCAATAACACCTCCCTGTGAGTCCAAACATAAGCCACACTAAGGAGGGAGCGAACCAGCTGTGCCATCTTGCGGATAATTGGCTGGACAGTCACGCCTTGACATTCGTAAAGACCAACTTCACATTGTTTTGGGGAGCCAAGTAATCAGCATGCTGAAACAAGGTGGAGTAGACTTAAAATATGTTTGCTATACCAGCTGAGCTTCTATATCATCACTCACTGATAGCAGCGACTGCTTGATCTTTGTGCCGTCCACGTTCAGTACTAAGGCACGTCCGGAGGACTTGCCTAGCCAGGCAATGGCATTGAGCACAAACTGATCGGTAACCTCGTCACATTCCTTCAAGTCAATGCGCTTAAGCTTCATGCACTTTCTCACCATTCTCATTAGGCCTATATCGGTGACGTGTCCGCACCAGAACAGTCCCAAAACCTCCAAGCCAGACAAGTCGTTGAAGAACTTGAAATGATCGTCGTCCAGGACATCGTTCGTGCTCCAGTGGAGTTCCTTTAGTGAGGAGAGTTGACCCACATAGCGCGCGTGCTCGTTTGTGATTTGGAATTGGCCCGCCAACTTCAGATAGCTGAGATTATTGCCCTTCTTCTCCGCCAACGTGGAGAGAAATCCGATGTTGAGCTCGTTGGAGGTCATCCAGGTCTTCAGCGTGCAGCGCTGCAGATTGCAATTACACAACTGAGCAATGACCTCAAAGTTCGTGTCACAGCCCGAGAAGGATAGCTCCTCCAGCTGGACACAGCACTCCGCTATCTTATGGTAGAGGGACTGGTTCATCACCTCGAAACAGCAGTTGTCCAGATCGAGGGAGCGCAACGTCTTCAGAGGTATGCCGAACTCGCCCGAGTTCCACAGCAAACAGTCGCGCAACACAAGGCTCTGCAGCTTGGGAAAGCCGCATAAGTGCTTCCCTGAGTACCGAGTGGCTATAAAGGTGACAAAAAACTGTTTGTTTCTGTCCTGCACTTACCCGTGTAGCAACCATTAATGAGCTCAAACGACTCCAGATCTCGATTGCCCTGCAAATTGAAGTTTAAAACGTCCTCCGCATCCATACAATCGATGCTGACGCGTCGCAGCTTCGTTAGGCGCGCTAGTAAGGCGTGGTAGTGGAAATCATCCGTGACATTCGTAAAATTAATTTCCTCGATATTCTTGCAAAACTCGGCCATAAACTCCACCAGCAAGGACTCTTTCTGAAACGAGGCGCAGTCCACATGCAACACTTTGATAAAAGGACCGGCAATGGAGAAAAAGTCTATGATGTCGGGCAGCCGCATCATTTCCACATCCTCGGCCACCAGTTCGTTGCGTCGCACTCGAGCCCAGTCCTCAAAGGCGAGCCGAAACTTGGATGCCGTGGATGCCAAGCGCACCTTATCGCATAGTTCGGGTAGATATCGAAACAATTGCCGAACGAGGTCCTCGGGCAGGCGCATAATGTGGCAGTTCGGCTTTTCTATTGCTTGGAGCTCTGTTTCCGCCAACATTTTCTTCGTCGCTTGCTCTGCTTTTGTATTTTGAATTTTGAATCAAGTATCTGCTAAACATTTTAATTTTCTTATCTCTTCATAGAAAATAATACTATTAAAACTTATAGGCCTGTTAAAAGATCTAGTGACGAAGCAATATTCGGAGATTCTTTTGCTTTCGAATCGGGTATATGCTAAACATTTTAGATTTCTTATTTCTTGAAAGAAAATAATGCTATAAAAACGTATAGGCCTGTTAAAAGATCTAGGGACGAAGCAATATTCGGAGATTCTTTTGCTTTCGAATGAATCGGGTATATGCTAAACATTTTCGTTTTCTTATTTCTTGAAAGAAAATAATGCTATAAAAACGTATAGGCCTGTTAAAAGATCTAGGGACGAAGCAATTTCGAATGAATCGGGTATATGCTAAACATTTTAGTTTTCTTATTTCTTGAAAGAAAATAATGCTATAAAAGCGTATAGGCCTGTTAAAAGATCTAGGGACGAAGCAATATTCGGAGATTCTTTTGCTTTCGAATCGGGTATATGCTAAACATTTTAGTTTTCTTATTTCTTGAAAGAAAATAATGCTATAAAAACGTATAGGCCTGTTAAAAGATCTAGGGACGAAGCAATATTCGAATCGGGTATCTGCTAAACATTTTAATTTTATCATTTTTTTGAAGAAAATATTACCACACTGACGAAGCCAGAAAACAAGCTTTCCATATGAACTTTTGCTTAGATATTTTTTTTAGCTATATTTAAATTGTAAGTAGAGTGTCTGCTGAAGTGTCTGTCGAGTTTGCTTATTTCGTCAACTAAATTATTACTATACTGACCTCAGAAAGTTCATAATTAGCTTAAAGAGCTAGTCACGTAGCAAGAAAGCCAGCTTTTAATAAGAATTTTAGTCGTTTGTTTTTTGCATTTGTATTTTAAATTAAATATGTATCTATTTTGTCTTAAAACCCCTTTTGATTAGTTACAAGATCTAGTGACGAAGCAAGCTCCCATGTTTTCCATAAACTTTTCTGTCGCTTCTGTTTCAAATTTAATAAATCAAGTAAATATTTTAGAAACTTATAATATGTTGTCTTTAAAATCTAGTGATAAAACAATATCGATATACTTGTACAATTCTAATTCATGTAGTATGTAGTCTCTTTATTACAAATTTGTGTACAATTTCGTCACTACATAGGCTCCCCATCCGTGGTACATATACATTGTATATTTGGGGCACAAATTTTGCACGCGTGCGTATGGCAGAGGCGTTATCTTCGACCTTCAAGAAATTTTGCTCACACATTCCAACTTTAGTTGCCTGATAAGGTTTTCTTTCAAGCACTCGCTGTCTGCCTCATATGTACGTAGAAGTATTGTGCGTCCGACATATTGTACCTGCACATTTATAGCCGTAGCATCAGGATTTTGAAAAATGGCCGACGCTGGGGTCTGATAATATTTCTTAGTATGTGTGTAAGTCAGTTGGTAAATAAAGTCAATTTGTAAATAAATAAAGGGGCAAATGACGTTGCCGATAAAGGCGTCAAGCGGACTGTGCAGATATGTCGCTATCGCATATAATACCTTAAGTTATGAAGTTTAGCATTTCTTGGAACTGAATGTATTGGCGAAATTCGTGGAATGAAAATGATAGGGAGTGGGAAATACAACACCGAGTGTGTTCTACTTTTTTTTTGAGTGTGGTGCGCAATTATTTTGTATACCTAGAAATGTATTATGTTTGCTTCCTTTTGGCTTAGTTTTGAAGTATCTTCAAATCCATAATTGATAAATGTATTTAATTATGTTGAAGCTCTTATATGTACATATATATAATTATTTATTATTTATGTACATTATATATATTTAATTTTTAATTTTTGCAGACAAACGTCTAAACAGATAAGGCTTATAGAAAATCGAAAGCAAATTTAAATTTTATCTTCAGTGCAACCTGAAAGTATGCTATGTTAAACCATCTGGGCTGTTTTTTAAGGGAGGGTGGGTGTCTTCGCTGCAACAACAACCTGAATTACCCGTCATATTCTTTATGTCCAAAAGTATGCAACAGTTTTTTGTAAATGTGAAAATCAAGGCAATTGCAATGTTAAATGAAACAATTTTTTTAAATCACTAAACATTTATAATTAATTTATTAACAGACTAACAAAATTCTCGAAACTCCACATTTCTTTGCATTGAAAACAAAATTTAAAACATAGCGATATAAACAACACGTATGTATTTGCGAAAGTTTTGTGCAATAAATTATGCTTGATGCCTGCTTAGGTATATAGACAATAATCGTTAATGAATCAGTCGCATACAAATGCCCATTTGTGACTAAATTCATTTAATAAAAGCTACCAAGTGTGGGCAACAATTAAACAAAATAAGAAACATACTCTTTTCAGGCAATACTATTGAAATAGTTTTCAAATATGAAAAGAAAAATTTCAAAATCGCGACAGAAATATGAATCAATTAGTGCTGCACAAACAAAGACAAACTGTCCAAACAGGTAACACAGTTGGCATTACTGCTGCATAAACTCATGAATGGGCAACTACTACTTGCTCCGAATAGATGCCAAGCCAGCAGCAACAACAGAAAATTGCACATAAAACCCGTTCGTACTGCATTCAGTTGGACTTGTGATTACCACGACGCATGCGAAACCAATTGATAATGCAATTGCGGTCACTCGCTATAACGCAATTGACAAACAAAAATCGATGAAAAATTAAACTCCATCTCCGTATGGCATAAGCAAATTTTGTTTCGATGCCCCCCCAGTTCCAAAACAATCAAATGATGGCTTCATTTTGAACCAGCTCGTAAATCTATCTCTCCCAATTTTTTAATTCAAAAGTGACGGATTTGAGGAGCTTTTTTAGGCTTCAATATTTGGAATGTCCACTCTTGCTCCGATTGGAAGTTCTATTTATAAGAGAAGTTTTAATAAAAGTGCTTTTAAAAGGTTTTGATTGAACTTTGCATGCGGAAAATATTTATATTTAGGCATATTGGTTCCCTGTGGATACAAAATGTTGTGCAGATATGTTTATACAAAATATAAAACAAATTTTTTTTTTAATATTGTTCGTGAAAACTGAGTTTAGGAGCCACACTAGAACTTTAGAAATAACATAAATCCGTTTGAATTTCTACTTATATTCAAGACTATATTGTAGTCCTTCTACATCTACATAGATACATATGTATATCCAGGAAGCTTAAAAAAAAAGAGTATAAGCGTAAAGAAGGACTACTCTAAGGATATTTTTTTCCCATTCCAACATAACCTTTAAGCTCTTGACGTTAGCTGCTTTAATGTAAACATTTAATTTTCCCCCATTTGTGGGTTGAATTTTTCATATATCCCTTCTTAGTGCACACTTTCTATTGCAAAATGTAGCGCTATAAATTGTAATATCCATTAGGTTGCTTCATTAAACAAATTTACAAACATATTTGTAATTGAACTGCATACTCTCTCCTAAATCCAAAGCTCTATTATGGACTAGTTCCGCAAAGTTAGGGGCACTGCTGGGTCCAAAGGAGTGTGTGAGTGTGCATCTGATGTTGGGCTCAGAGTGCAATTGGCTGCTGCTTTCGTTGTTGCTGCTGCTACAAATGTAGCACACCTGCCTGATAATAATAATAAATTTCATATCATCAACACAATTTTCCAGTTGCCTGCCTCTAGTCGTGGGCTGGCAATCGCGAGCGCATCTGTAATAGAGTTTTTCAGGAGTTGGTCAATTGAAGCGTGTCTCATGCCCGATCGGCCATTGATACGTACATACATATCCACTATATAGCACTCGTATTGTGACTTACGTATGTAAACCTCTTTTGGCCAATTTAACGCTTATGCTCGAGTCGCCTGCTGACTTACTACCCTTTGTTTATGTTGCTGTTGTTGAGCAAGCTCAATTTGTTTTAAGCCCAATTGATAATTTAACGCTTCAATTGTCACGCAGTCGGACCGAAAACTATCTTACCAATGCGCAGGCGTCGCTAACTGACTGAAACATTATTGCCTTTTTTCTGCCCTGTCATAATTTGTAGCACATTTTAAGTCATACATAATACTTCATTTTTTTATGTTTTTTTTTTTTGTTTCTCGCCATTGTCGGCTTGTAATGGCTAATGGTTTTAGACCTTAATGGCATTTTGGTATTGTCATTCGAATTAAAAGCCATTTGTTGCGGCACTTGGATTATTATCAAGTAATTGCCACACACATGGCAGATTTCTATGGACTTATGCTCACGTGCTGATAGATGTCATCTAACCATATAAAGATCTATTGAAGGGATAGGGATAGATATAGAACAAATATGTATTATGTCCGCTATCGCCAAATTCTGAAAAAATATTTCGTGAAAATATACGCATTTCTAAAACATACTTTAAGCACATAATTTAGTAGAAGAAAAAGATGTCATCTAACCATATAAAGGTCTATTGAATCGAATTACAAATGGTACTGTAACTATTCAAGAAATATTGGGGATAAATATAGAAAAAACATTATGTCCGCTTGCGCCAAATTCTGAAAAGAAATTTCTACATATTTCTAAAACATACTTTAAGCGCATAATTTAACAGAAGAAGAAGAAGAAGATGTCATCTAACCATATAAAGATCAATTGAATCGAAATACAAATGGTACTGTAACTATTCAAGATATATTGTGGATAGATATAGACAAAATATTATGTCCGCTTGCGCCAAATTCTGAAAAGATGTTTCCTGAAAATTTCTACATATTTCTAAAACATACTTAAAGCGCATAATTTAATAGAAGAAGAAGATGTCATCTAACCATATGAAGATCTATTGAATGGAATTTAAAATGGGGATAGATGTCGAAAAAATATTATGTCCGCTTGCGCCAAATTCTGAAAAAATATTTCGTGAAAATATACACATTTCTAAAACATACTTTAAGCGCATAATTTAATAGAAAAAGAAGAAACTTTAGTGCGCTTAAACGATTAACGAATCAAACATTATAATCATCTTTATTCAATACAAATGCATGCAT